AATGGTATCAATGTGGATTTCACAAGTTTCAAAATCTCCCCTCCCCCCACCGCATCCCAAAACCAGTCCAACTCGTCCCTGCCTCCCTAACCTGTTCTTCCTCCCACCTATCCCCTCCTCCCACCTCAAGCCGCACCTCCATCTCCTACCGACCAACCTCATCCCGCCCCCTTGACCTGTCCGTCCTCCCTGGACTGACCTATCCCCTTCCTAACTCCCTACCTACACTCACCTTTCCTGGCCCCATCCCCGCCTCTTCGACCTGTTTGTTTCCTCTCCACCTATCCTCTCCTCTATCCCTCTTCTATCCGCCTCCCACTCTCTCCCTATTTATTTCAAAACCCCCTTCCCCTCCCCCTTTTCTGATGAAGGGTCTAGGCCCGAAACGTCAGCCTCTCTGCTCCTATGATGCTGCTTGGCCTGCTGTGTTCATCCAGCCCTGCACCTTGTTGTCTCGGATTCTCCAGCATCTGCAGTTCCTACTATCTCTGATTCGATAGACCGGTGAGCCTGGCATCAGTGGTGAGTAACTTGTTGGAGAGAATCCTAAGGGACAAGATTTACATGTAATTGGAAAGGCAAGGACTGATTAAGGATAGTCAACATGGCTTTGTGCATGGTAACGCGTGTCTCATTAAATTGAGTGAGTTTTTTGAAGAAGTAACAAAGAGGATTGATGAGGGCAGAACGGAGGGCATGATCTATATGGACTTCAGTAAGGCATTTGACAAGGTTCCTCATGGTAGACTGGTTAGCAACATTAGGTCACATGGAGTACAGGGAGAACTGGTCTTTTGGATACAGAGCTGGCTCAAGGGTAGAAGGCAGAGGTGGGGTTGATGGAGCGTTGCTTTTCAGACTGGAGGCCTGTGACCAGCGGTGTTCCAAAAGGGTCAGTACTGGGTCCACTGTTTTTTGACATTTATATAAGTGATTTAGATGTGAACATAGGAAGTATAGTTAGTAAGTTTGCAGAAATTAAAATTGGAGGTGCAGTGAACGGTAAAGAAGGTTACAACGGGATCTTGATCAGATGAACCAATGGGCCAAGGAGTGACAGATGGAGTTTAATGTAGATAAATTCAACAGCATTTTGGAAAGGCAAATGAGGGCAGGACTTAAACACTTAATGATAAGGTCCTGGGGAGCGTTGCAGAACAAAGTGATCTTGAAGCACAGGTTCATAGTTCCTTGAAAGTGGAGTTACAGACAGACAGGGATGTGAAGAAGACATTTGGTATGCTTGCCTTTATAGATCAGTGCATTGAATATAGATTTTGGGAGGTCATGTTGTGGCTGTACAGGACATTGGTTAGGCCACCTTTGGGATACTACATGCAATTCCAGTCTCCCTGCTATAGGAAGGATGTTGTGAAACTTGAAAAGGTTCAGAAAATATTTACAAAGGTGTTGCCAGGGTTGGAGTGTTCAGCAACAGGGAGAGGGTGAATAGGCTGGGGCTGTTTTCCTTGGAGCGTCAGTGGCTGAGGGGTGACCTTGTGGAGGTTGATAAAATCTTGTGGGGCATGAATAGAGTAAATATTCAAGGGCTTTTCCCTGAAGTAGGGGAGTCCAACACGACAGATCATAGGTTTAGTGTGAGATGGGAAAGATTTAAAAGGGACGGGGGCAATATTTTTTCATTCAGGGGGTGGTGCATATTTGGAATGAGCTGCCAGAGGAAGTGGCGGAGGCTGGTACCATTACAACTATGAAAAGGCATCTGAATGGGTAAATGAGTAGGAAGAGTTTAGAGGGATATGGGCCAAATGCTGGCAAATGGGACTAGATTTATTTAGGATACCTGGTCGGCATGGACGAGTTGGACCGAAGGGTCTGTTTCAATGCTGTACATATGTATGAATCTATCTCTTAAGGTTGACATGCAGTTTCAATTGACAGTCACGATGGCAATTGTAATGTCAGCATTCATTTCTAGAGGGCGAGAATACAGAGCAGAAATGTATTTCAGAGTCTGTATAATGCTCTGGTTAGACTCTATATGGAATATTAAGAACAATTTTGGGCCTTGTATCTGAGGAAGGGATGTGCTGGCATTGGAGGGAGTCCAGAGGAGGTTTGCAGGTATGATCCTGAGGATGGAGGGCTTGCCATATGGGGACCTGTTGAGGGCTCTGTACCAGTACTCAATGGAGTTTCGAAGGATGAGGAAGGGGATCTGATTGAAACTTACAGAATACTGAGTGTCTTGGATAGAGTGGACATGGAGAAGGTGTTTCCACTAGCAAGAGGGACTACGACCTGAAGGCACAGCCTCAGAGTGAAGGGACAACTCTTTCGAACTAAGATAAGGAGGAATTTCTTCAGCCAGAGGGTAGTGAATCTGTGGGACTCATTACTGCAGAGAGCTGTGGAGACCAAGTCACTGCCTGTGTTTAAGACAGAGATAGATGAGTTCTTGATTAGTTAGGGAATCCAGGATTACATGGAGAAAGCAGGAGAATGGGGTTGAGAAACATATCAGCCATGATCGAATGGAGTGGCAGACACAATGTGCCCAATGGATTAAGTCTGCTCCCATATCTAATGGTTTTATTTTCTTATAGACGGCGTGATTCGAGAAGGCACCTTAGCATTACCTTCCTTAGGGCACATAGGCAATGGTAATAAACACCAGGAGGTGTTTTGCCTGGAGGTTTCTGTATCAGTTGGAGAAGCTGTACCAATTGCGAGGAATCGTGGAACTATTTTCAGAGTCTGTACTCATTATAAACTGTAATTCATAGTCAGAATTGCCAAGTTTAATTACTGAGTTAATATCGACAAATGACAAAGGAAGCTGGGAGTCTTTGGAATTCTTTGTCACAGAGAGCTATGGGAACAGAGTGCTTGTGTACTTTTAAGGCAGAGAGGAATAGATTCTTGATCAATAGGGAAGTCGAGGGTTGTCGGGAAGGAAAGTGTATGAGGGGAATGTCCCGATTAGCTGTGATCCCATTGAATAGCGAAGCAGGTTCAAGGGCTGAATAACTTACTCCTGTTTCTGTTTCTTAGGATCTTATGTCTCAATGCATCAAAGACTGTAGAGGAGTAGCTTTCTCGAATATCTGGAATTTAATGACTGAGCAGTTACAAGTGCAGCGAAGGACGTACTGAAATAATATGTGATCCAAAGCTGAGAGTGATAATCCAGAGACCCAGGTACTGTTCTGGGGACCTGGGTTCGAATCTCGCCACGGCAGATGGTGGAATTTGAATTTAATAAAATATCTAGAATTAAGAATCTATGATGACCATGAATCCATTGCTGATTGTCAGAAAATTCCATCTGGTTCAGTAATGTCCTTGAAGGAAGGAAACTGCCATCCTTCCCTGGTCTGGCCTACAAGTGACTCCAGACCCAAAGGAAGGTGGTTCACACTTACCTACCCTCGGGGCAATTAGGGATGGGCAATAAGTGCTACTGTAGCCAACGTTGCCATCATTGCTCCGAATGAATAAAAAAAAGTTGTTGCACAGAATGTAATATCATTTGATATTGGAATAGACCTTTGCAAGGACAATGTCTCTGATGAAAGGTCTCAGTGAGAGTCAGAGTCTCACACAATCTTAGAATCAAACTGTACAGAACAGGCCCTTCAGCCCATCGAGTGTGTTACACCAATGTAAACTGACAACTGAGTGTGCATGTCCTTCAGACCGAGGTAAATGAGGGAGAGTGGCCCAACGAATGATCAGGGAAAGCCAGACATTCTCTGCTTGAGAAACTAAACAGTGCATTTGTCTGGGGAGTCCAGAACCAGGGGTCACAGTTCAAAGATACGGAATAAACCATTTAGGACAGAGATGAGGAGGAATATCTTCATCCAGAGAGTGGTGAGCCGGTGGAAGTCATTGCTACAGAGTTGATGGACAAATTTTGGATGATTTCAAGAAGGAGGTAGATATAGCTCTTGTTGCTCAATGAGTTAAAGTATTTGGGGAGAAAGCGGAAACACGGGACTGAGTAGGATGAACCGCCACGATCCTATTTAATGGTGGAGCAGGTTCAGAAGGCTGGTAGCCTGCTCCTCTCGTATTTTCTGTGATTCAGTGTCTTTCCATTTTCTCACACTGTCAACCTCATCCTCAATGGAGAAAATGAAGCTTCCAAATCTGCAGAGTGAGCCCTGAGGCAGGGAGCATGTTCACACAGGTTTATTATTGCAAAGCCTCTGACACCTGGCACGGATACATTGGCAGGGAGATTTCAACATGATAGGAGAGGGTGTGAGGGAATTGGGACTTTACACCAGCAGGTCAACAACAGAAAGTGCGAAACGCAAAATGATGGAAGGTGCAAGACGGCTATTCAGCCCATCGTGGCTCATTGAAAGTTTAGGACACTTAGTCAGAGTTGACAGCACTTTCTCTGCTCCGTCTGAACAGCCGAGATCCAGATATTGATCCTCTTGGGGCACCAAAGCTAATGAGAGAGATAGTAGGAAATGGCGGTGCTGGAGTCTGAGATAACAAGGTGTGGAGCTGGATGAACACAGCAGTCCAGGAAACATCAGAGGAGCAGGAAAGCTGACGTTTCGGGTCTGGACCCTGAGCTCATCGAGAGCGGTTCAGTCTATCCTTATCTCAATCTTCATCATAAAATATCAGGGGGCATTAAAAACAAAAGATGGCAGAAAATGGAGGGGGGAAATTTTATGTGTCAGAGAGAGAGAAGGAAGGAGGGTGTGAAGTAATCATGAACAGGAAGCAGAACAACTCCTCATTTCCAGGTGACAGGATCAAACAAACGATGACTGCCAAAGGGTGGAGCTAACAGAATGGGAGAGATTTCACTGTCGAATGGTTCATTACTGAGAGGAGGAGCAAGAAGAGGGAGCAGAGTTTATAAAGTTAGAATGCTGAAAGAAGAAACAGAGTGAGAGGCAGTGAGAGAGACAAAGATAAGAGGCGACAAGAATGGCAACACATTGCACTGGTGGTACATCTGGTACTGCAGCTGTTACTGCTGAGATTCAGGCCATTGTCCAGTCAGTGAGTAATCTTTCTCTACATGCATATGTTATATTATGTGGCATCTCCCAGCCTGGAGTCTCGTCATATCTGCTGTAATATACTTTACGTAGTTATCATATGAATACCTATAAAAGTCGTTTTAGCTTCTTTAACCTGTCGAACAAACCAGATCAGTCCACCCCCTATTTCGCCAGCTCTGCATACCTCTGAGTCTTTGATAAAATTCAAGTGTTTGTTTTCCAGTTGAGTCAATGTTGGGAGCTACAGATTTCACATGCCATTTATGCATAGCAAGATTCCACAAAGAACAAAACTGAGATTGAGACGGTGAAAGCTTGCTGTAATTGAGAGGAAAACATTCTCCTCCAAGACATGATCAGCTGACAGCATTGCCTGAGGGATTGGTTCATTGTCACAGCTGAAAGACAAAATCACACAGTGCAGCAGGATGTCAGCACTGACCGTCCGACAGTGCGGCCCTCCCTCAGCACTGACCCTTCGACAGTGCGGCCCTCCCTCAGCACTGACCATCTGACAGTGCGACACTCCCTCAGCACTGACCCTCCGACAGTGCGGCACACCCTCAGCACTGACCCTCCTTCATTGCGGCGCTCCCTCAGCACTGACCCTCCGACAGTGCGGCACACCCTCAGCACTGACCCTACGACAGTGCGGCACTCCCTCAGCACTGACCCTCCGACAGTGCGGCGCTCCCACAACACTGACCCTCCGACAGTGCGGCCCTCCCTCAGCACTGACCCTCCGACAGTGC